TAGTACTAAGCACCTTCTCCTTGAGTTTTCCACTTTCCTCTACTGCCTTCCATGTGCTTGTTGTTAACCATTATTTATAATCTCTCTTGCGGAATCCAATGGGTTTTTTTGCTAATCTCAAGGTACATCTCTTTGATGGCATCCCATTTTTTCTAGATGAAGTTCTCAGCATCTGAATCTAAGTCTTCTAAAGCAGCAAATCTATTACTCAGCTCAAGTATAAACTTCTTCTGGACTTTTGGTTCTCTCAGTCGCTTGACATCGAAGGTCCTCCTTTCCGACTTATCATCCTTATCAGCCTTCCGGAGCTTTAACCTTAGCTTTGCCACAATGAGCTTGTGGTCGCTGTTCACATCAGCCCCTTGGTATGCTCTGGTATCCATGAGGGACCTTCTCCATTTACCATTAATGATGATGTGATCTATCTGGTTTTTATCTCTGTCATTAGGGGAATTCCAGGTTACCTTGTGTGTTTCAGATCTGATAGTGTGAGGCTAGAAATCGTGAATTGTGTAGATAGAAATCGTCCTTGTTGTGTTCTGTTGGGGTAAGTAATATACATTTATAGTACATGAGCCTGTTTAAATTGCCTGAATTATTATGTAATACAACAAATCTTTGCAAATATTTCTTCTTGTAGTGTATACAAAACGCCAAATTCTGTTATCGGTTGGCTTAATAAAACCCCAGCGAATCGTATTTTTGTGAAAGACTGGTATTTTTGCCCTAATTTGTAGGAATCTGAAAAACGCGTTTCACAACTTATCTCTTTAGTTTTATGCTGCCTTCAAGATGGCGGCCCCCCATATACAATGTAGTACATATCGTATTTATTGTATTATCACGTGATAAAGGGTACCGGTACAATGTTTTTTGTGTGGTAATTCACTCATCTCTAGCCATGGTCTAATGTATTCGAGTAGCGTTCATTTTTGCGTCCAACAGACAAAGTATGGCTAGCTACTTATAGTACTGGTATTTGGAAAAATAATACAAGCGCGGGTAACCCGAATCTCTGGTCCCTGGCCAATGGCCCCGGCCAAATTGAATGGCCCCCAGGCCAAATTAAATGACCCCTGGCCAATGTTTTTCTCACATTTGTTTATATATTTAATTGGTCGACAAGTTACCATGACTCGACAGTACTATAGAGACATTTCGCGATGGGCGTCTTCCGTGGTCAGTAAAATTTACGAAAATTTGTGTTCACTATTATATAAACTGGCTTGGCAGTTCCCACCACCAAATAGACAATGTCACAGCCTTTCGGCCACTTTTCCAACAAATCCAAAATCACTCGATAATTTCGTTTACTTTACATTTGTACTATGATTACATTTGAAGTTTTGATAATTTTAATGCATACTTGTACACCAACAAAAATACCTCCAGGATAAGAGAATGTAGTATATAGCCTTGACAAAGCATTATTTTTGCATTTTTTTCGATCTGTGTAATTTTATGTGGAAATCCTAATAAGATTTAATGTACAGTTCACACCTGACAGTTTTGCAATATTAGAGGCTGTGAACTTGTCCATGGAGGCTGCAAACTGCAATTTTTTTTTTTATAAAGATTGTGTTTACTGACATTTATTTTGTATTTTTTTCTTACTGGTGTGACTACAGTGACTATTTAGTGTACTCGGCAGTATGGTTGTTGTTGTTGTTGTTGTCAGTTTTTTTTTGTGTTTTTGGAGTTTTGTACAAAAATCAACAACGGTTAAATAGGTATATTATTTCCAATTTGCAGTATATCATAGACAGTACTTGTATACTTTGTTCTCCAGCATAAATATCAGGTTGTTCGGGAGCATGAGATTGTAATTCATTAATGTTGTACGATGACGCTTTCTCAGATGCCTTCAGATTCCCATGTTTATTGTATTGTATTGTATATTTTGTTTCACCATAAAGTAAATACAATAGGGTACTTGCTAAATACATAATACTTTGTCATTATAGTGTGGAACATGATAAATAGCTCAAAAAGAGCTAATGAAACATCGTGTCCCTACCCTAATTATAAACTAGTCAAATTATCAGAAATATGCTTACAAATATTCAAATGTAATGTATATAAGAATACTTAAAACTGATCAAAAATATGTCATAAAAGTCAAGAGAGTGACAATTGTTACATAAGTCAATACTGGGTTATTTATTACAGAGATACTTTTAAGACCTTGTTTAAATATGTATCGAGAGGTAATATTTTTTAATGACACTGGCAATGAGTTCCAGAATAAGGTACTACTATAAATTACACTGTGTTGACTTTGAGTTAAACGTTTTTTTTTTTTTTTTTTAAAGTTTGCTTTTCCTACAGATCTTGTACTGTGTGAGTGCTGAATAACCTGAATTGGGTCAAAATAATGTAGCACACATCTCGCATGATTATTATTTTTTCAGATAAAAATTTACATTCTTGTTTGTAATTTACAAAAAGCATATATATTTAATATACCTATGTTTTTAAAGAGTGGTTTGGAATGATCATAAAAGTTTGACCAATTAATTAGCCTCACAGCTCCGTTTTGTAGAATAAATAGTGGCTTAAGGGTTGTTTCGTAAGTATGGCCCCAAACGTCCATGCAGTATGACAAATTTGGTAAAATAAGTGATAATATATCATTACTAAGATTGATTTAGGAACACAGTGTCTCAATTTTGAAAAAAATACCCACAATGGGAGTTATCGTTTTAATTAATTTCTGAGTATGAAATTTCCAGGAGAGACTAGAATCAAGAAGAACGCCAAAATAACTAAAAGACTCGACCTGACTCAAAGAAATATAATTAATTTTTAAACTGTTTGTGATTTTTACTTCTCTCCTATTTGTTTTGAAAATGGAGAAACTAGTTTTATCTGCATTAATAGTAAGTTTGTTTGACTTGCACCATAATATAACTTTATTAAATTCACCTTGAATGTCAGACAATTTAATTTGACAAGAATTAATGAACATGCTTGTATCATCCACAAATAGTTTAAAGCTAAAGACGTCAGTAGAATTACAAATGTCGTTAATGTACAGCAAGAACAGTAAAGGGCCTAAATTTGAGCCTTGGGGAACACCACATTTAATTTCAAGCTTTTCTGAAACTGTATTGTTAATTTTAACATATTGTTTCCTGTTTGACAAGTAACTTTTGAACCAATCATGTGCCACCCCTCTAAATCCATAAGACTTCATTTTTTTTAAGTAAAATATCATGGGCAACAGTGTCAAATGCTTTTTTTAAATCAATAAAAATACCAAACCCAATATATCTTTTATCTAAATGGTTGTTGATGTCAGTTACAAGATTAAGTAAAGCCAGTTTTGTACGTCGTTTTTTTGCGAAATCCGAACTGTAAGTCTGACAAAATATCAAATTTATCAATAAAAGACATAATCTGTTTATTGACAACACTTTCAAGGATTTTACTGAAAACCGGAAGTATCAAAATTGGTCTGTAGTTGCCTAAATCTTCTGTTGAGTCTTTTTTATACACAGGAGTTACTCTAGCAATTTTAAGAAAATTCGGGAATATTCCTGTGCTTAAAGGAGTTATTTATGATATGGGTAAGTGGGCGACAAATGTACAAGGAAGAATCAATC